GATGGCCATCTGGCGCATGCGCAGGTGACGACTCCCTCGCTATAATTACAGTATTACACTATGCAAATTGAATAACATTATATGTAACTTTCATGCAATATCATTTTTTTATAGTTAACTTTGATGTGAACACGGCAAAGAATCTTTTATTACTGGCAAGTTGTTCTGAAGATCAGCAACAGTGGGTTCATCGACTTAGTAAGAAAGTTATCAAAAAACCAATGACACCTTGTACTGGATCACCCAGGTAAGCAGTGTATGCATGTGTACATGTAATGTACACGTAGTTGCATTTCGTGTCTGTTTTAGTATTATGAGGCTTGCTGTCAGTTGTAGTCCACGTAGTTGTCTGTTGACAGGGTTACTGTCTCACTCCATTCTCTCGGTATACTTAGCTCTGCATGGTTTAAAATATGCATGTTCTATTGTCATATATGAATCTCTTTTTATTTATTTCCACTCATCCATTCAATTCTCTGCATTATTTTTTTTAAAGTGCCTTGACTAATTTTGCGCTATAAGAAAGGCATAATATAATAATTTACATAAATTTATTTTTATGGATTAAATTGAATATTTGATTGTGATGGCCAGTTTTAACAAATATTAGTATGATCACAAGTAGGTCTGCAATTATATGAAAAAAATTCTCTTATTTTATCATATTCACGGTCATTTGTAATTTGCCAAAATTAATGACAAATTTTGCATGAAATCGCTTCACTGATTGGCTGTCTTGCATGATATCTCATCACTGATTGGTTGTTTTGCATGAAATCTCATTGCCGATTGGCTAATTTGTATACATTCTCAACACTAATTGGCTGATTCAAATCATCTCAATTTAATTCATTCTGTAAACTTCATTCTGATTGGTAGTCTACCTCATTTACTTATTGTTGATTGGTTAAGATTGAATGATTTGTTGCTAGCAAGTAGGATGCATGTAATGAACATCTAATTGAGGACCATTTGCATGAAGGGGGTTGTGAGACCCACCTGGTTTTCTAACATTAATCTCAAATAGGCTTGGTGCATGATTTCATTGCAGTAAGTCGTTACCTAGACAACAAAGCAAAGATAATAATCAATCCAGTTACTTTTCATTGAGACGTACAAGTAGTTCTAAACTAGCAGCACAACAGCCTTAATAATCAAACACAGTCACAGGTAAGAACACTTGGGTTATCACCACATTAGTTATACAGCACTCTGATTGGTTCAATGCACATTAATATTCATGATACTAACTATGGCCCAGCCAATGGGTACTTGTATTTTGGGTTCCATCTTATTATCATCATGTTATTAACCAATAAAAATGGTGTTTTTAAACGCAATGTGGAAGTGAATTAAAATATGATCTGTTAGCAACTGTTGGTAAAAACTGTTGATTCACAATTTTTGATAGGAAAACTTAGTGTGGAGGAAGTATTTAGAACATTTCACGGCCGCCAACAGGTCACACCGAAGCATAGTTTACACGTTCGCGCACACATTCACGATAGTCTGAATGGACACTGTGATTATTCATGAAAGTGAAGCATTTCATGACTTGACAGTTATATTTTCAGTGTTTCAAAAGCAACCACTCGATGAGTAATGGATATACTTATAAATATTACAACATTGGGTTCATGGCAAGTAACAACAGCACAGAAAAAGTGTGAATCATGTTGTACGGTGAAATTTATATTAGTTTTAGTACCAAGGCAAAATGAATTGGTTTGAATGTCGTCTTCAACAGCACTGTCAAAGTAATACATGTATAACAATTATATATTTTCATTCATCTTTTTTTTTTTTTTTTTTTCAGAACATAATTTAGGAATATGTATTATATGAAGGACAAGTCAATGGAAGACCATCGTCATGGTTATTGAAGTGGCAGCTAATTTTTACCAATTTGAATTATGACCACATCGATAAACCTCTTTAGGAGGGGCACATTCTGTAACTTTGAGATTTTTTTTTTTCTTTTTTGTCATTTCAATTTCATTACTCAAAATATTTTGAAACATACAAAATCTTTGTAAGCTTTTAGCAGATCTATCATCTATGCTTTTTTTAGATTCAGTATATAATGGATGAAATAAGATATACTGGGTACTGGACCAGAAAATCTGTGAACTTAGCTGATAAAATGTAATTTAATAACTGTTTCTTTAACTGCCTTAACTTCTGACAAAAAATAGTGAAATATTGTGATAGTGAACACAATTCAATTAACCATTTGACTTTTGACCACTAAAGTCATCTTCTTTCAGCTTTCATGAATTAAAACTCACAATTTTTAAATATTTTTCCCCAAATTTTGATCAAGATCTATAGCCAATAGGAAATTATACTCGTTTAGTCCAAAATTATTAGCAAAAAAAATTATCACAAAATACATAAAAATGTTCAAATTTTGACAGGAAAAGATGATGGAGGTTACGCTGACTTTGACATAATGTCTTCAACATTTCTTGTTGCACAAATGTAAATGTAAATACACACAAATTTGAGCCTTCAACTTTTGTCACTTTGTCAAAAAAGAGGTTTTGATATTGGCAATGAGAAATTTTGTTCATTTAGTTCATGATTAACTCATTGTCTGCTGAAACTGAAAGCTTCCATGGACATACCATAATTAATAGGAAAATCAGATATCCAGCAGATGATGTGTTGACTATAAACACAATATAGAAAAAAAGTGACACTGATAAAATATGGTACGAAAATCATGTCGCACAAGGAGGTTAAAGGGCGGTAGTCGTCGCGCCGCGTCCTGTTCGATATGGAACTCATCGCGACGTATACAACGCGTGTAAAATGCATTGTTTATTTACATGAAATTCAAACACGCGCTGCGCGACAACGACCACCGCGCTTTAAAGGCAGAGATTACACAATACTCAATAGTGTGGTCATTATTACCGGTACACCCGATATGATGCATCACTGATGCGCTGAGATTTGCTATGATGCAACTAGTTCCCTGGTGCACCTATGATGCAACTGAAAAATCAAACATTGTTATAGTAATCTTTGCAAAACTTCTTCTGATAGTTGCAGGGTTTGTAATTTGGAAAAATGAAATTCACATTTTATAAACAAAATAAGTTTAAAACCAAAGAAAATTTGTCTGTGCCTTCAGAAGTGCTCTCTCTCTCTCTCTCTCTTAATCTTATTTTTTTCTAGAATACCAGCATCAAGTTGTGATCTAACAGATTTTTGCAATTCCATCTCTACTCAAGATCCCTACAAAATCAGACCTGTAGAGGGCGCACTGGTGCTCACTGTAAGACTAACGCTTCTTCACACATGTATCTGCACTAGAATCAGTCATACATAATATCAGCCAAATCAGAAAGTTACTGTATGTGTCCCTTTAAGAAGACAAATTTTCATTGAAGTTGTGAACGAAATTTATGGAAGATAAAATCCTGGTAATGTAAACTGGGAATTAAAAATTCAAAAGTACGAGAAGGAGTTGCATTTCATACAAAACATTGAATATAACTTTTCATGACGAAAATGCAGATGTACTTATTTCCAGGTTTTTCATTCCTCACAGTTTTCCGGCTTTTTAACATTTTCACAACGGTGGTTCTTATCACTCAGAGGGTTATTTCTGATTGGTTGCTCAGAAATATTAAGTTGGATTATATTGTTCAGGTTTTTTGATATCATACCATATGTTTTTAATTTAGACATCAAGTGAAAGTGAAAAACTGTCATTTGGTTCAAACATTTGACAAAGCGAAAAAGTTGTCACTTATTCAAGTACTGTAGAATACTTTATTTTCGCTTGAAATTTATTTTCGCTATTTTTGCTGAAGGGATGATTCCGTGAAAATAAAATCCAGCGAATATACTTTTTTTTTTATATTTCACATTAAACTCATCAAAAATCAGTGAAAATAAATTCCAAGCAAAACGCCCCAAAAGCCTTTTCAGCAAAAATTAATTCCAGTGAAAATAAAGTATTCCACAGTATAATTAATATGCATTAGTTTTTGTGTAATGAAGGTCATAGAACAAGTTTCAAATAAAAACATGCATTAATGCATTGCTTAGTAGTACAGATCAGTCATTCCGTTTTATCAGCAAATAACTTGTTTTTTTGAGCTTTTGCAAATGTTGATTATTAATCAGCCGTGATTATAAAAATGTACTAAATTTCATTGGTTTGTAATGAAATACAAGTAAAATTTGACATTTCTTTCAGTGGAAAAACTTGTTTTTCAAAATACAAAATTGGTAATCAAAGTTCACCTATTCATGCTTAGACACAAACATTATATTCTTGAATAATCGTCGCTGACTCTTAAAAACCTAAATTTTAGGCCCAGGGAAAGATTGAAATGTTGAAATGAAAATCGCGCATAAATTAGAATACAGTATACAAAACTGTGTGTAGAAGGTTATTTCTTTTTTCCAAATATTTTTGGTAATAAACTGCTAAGCAAATGAAAATTACATCATGTTGGTTTAAAATTATTGAAATAATAGGATTTTACTCTCCAGATTTTGGAAGGACAATATAGATGCAAATAATTCAATAAGATCTTTTAGGCCCAAAAAATTCAGATGAATATTACCTCAACAGTTTCATCATGTATGTTAATTCCTGTATATATTTGTCAGTTAAATCAGTTACAAAAACATTGGGAAACAGAACTTTCTAAAATATTGCCTGGGAGGCCATTAAAGCCTCCAACTGTCTTTGGACAATAGACTGCAATTTAAGATTTGTCGGGCTAATAACAAATGTGACCTATGACCTTGTCAAGGCAACAAATTGTAGTGTTCTTTAAATTTCACCATTTTCAGTAAATCTGTAGTCTACCAATCTGTAGTTTAATGTAAATTGGTAAGAATTCTTAAAAAAAAAAAAAATTGAAATCTCAGTGTATCACATCTTACATTTTACTTGTGTACTTTTGCAGCATTTTTTCAACCGGAGGCAAATTCTTGTCGCTTTAATCAATTTGTATTCAGGGACTGTAAAATAAATAATTGTTCACCAGGTTTTACTTTTCGAATTGATGAAAATCCTAATTTGGAGCTTAATTCAAAATCAAAATAGAAGTCAAAAAACTCAATGCACAAATTTGAGACCCGGTGTTAATATTTATTTTTCGCATTACTTTGAAAGTCAGAATTACAAAGTTAGGAAATATAAAAATTTCAATATTTTACCTTAAACATGTCATGACAATCATATTACTGTGTGAGTTTCAACTTTACCACTATCAGTCCTTTTTCAACCCTGTTTTATTTCCTCGTTCCGAGTCTCTGCTTTCTGAGATCTCTACAATAATGGATAGGAATAATTCCCGTAGTATGTGTGACATTTGAATAATGTTTGGCAAATGAAGCAAACTTAATGTGTTATATGAATAAATTTGCATGGCTAATGAGATAAACCAGTCATTGATCCTTGGCGATTGTAGTAGTTGATCTGGTTTAATATTTGCAACCAACTTTTGATCCTAAACGAATTTTGTACCCAGGAACTTGAAACTTGAATGACCGTGGAAGGCTCAGTAAGAACAGTACTTATTTTCAACTATCACTGTGACGATGAGGTTTATTTTCTCTGATTTTAAAAACCCATCTATGCAAAATGTGTTGATTGTCCTATACTGAGGGCGGCCTATCACCCTGTAACCAGAATGAGGCTGGAAAGTTCCTCTCAGAATACACTCACATATTTTCTGAAAGCTTTGACTGTTTTGGGGGCTACAGATACATGTAGTTGTAAAGAGTGGCTCATATTGATGTCTTACATTGTGATGCCAAATTGCATGAAGTGTTGGACCTTGCAGCTGGTGTCAATTTAAACTAGATTTAACCAGTTTAATCTGGATGCAAAATATGTCAACTGGTTTAAACCAGTCAATATGTAAATTGATACGCGTCTTGTCTACTTCATTCAACATTCTATATCTTGTTTTACATATTTAATATTAATATTGATACCGGGATTGTTATATATTATTCTACTCCTGTTACCATAGTTACTTTAGTAAGAATTGTGCCAATTTTTAGCTTTAAAAATATTTAGTCAAAATGTGGTAAACAATGTATAAATTATAGTTGATATTGTACATGGATACAAGAAGCTGATTTTGACTGTTTGATGCATGTAACCAGAATAATCCAGATTTTTCCAGTTCTGACTGGTTATTACAGGATGTTGAAATCAATTACAATCCCATTTTCATTATACTATTTTTCTTTTCAACTAATTCAACTCAGTATGTGCTTTGTTTTTCTGTACAGGATTTCTATAGCTAATATAGTTACTTAAAATATAATTTACATTTTTGGGAAATGGGTGATTTTTTTTTTTCTGTTTTTGCATGAATTTTTGTTGATACATTATTCAAAGTTCACAAATAAATTCAATATACCAACCTTAAATACAAGTATGTATTGTTCAGTTTTGTGTGTACCTACAGAAAATGCATTTGTCACTAGGTGTCTGATTGTGTTAAAAGAAATGGAGATGGAAAACGGGGATGTGCGGCCAGATGTATCAGTTTGGCCAAAGGCATCTATTCAGATTAACACTTCCCGCCCATAGATACTGTAAAAGGGTTAATTATTCACTGGGTTTTAATTTTGCTTATTTCGCTGACTGGAAAATGCGCTAAATTAAAACCCAGTGAATATGTAAAATTTAGCATAGTACACATTATCTAAATGACGAAACCGTGAATTTAAAACCCACTGAATATGCCTTAAATGGTAGGTAAATCAGTGAAATTTAAACCCAGTGGAAATTAGTCATTTTACAGTATAAATTTGAAAAAAATTGTTCACTGCTATGAATGGGCAGAGAATTGCTCTAAAATTGTCGGGCAACTGTTGCTACAAATGTTTTTAAATAGCAAATGAACAGACCTCTGTCTTGCACAATTCAAATTATTGAGATAACCATTGAAATTCAATATCTAAACAGAATTTATCAAGATTTTAAAGATCAGGATAAGGTCAAGTATTGTTCAAATTATGACAAAAACATGAATATACTGGTGTAGAGTTTATTTTGCTTAAAAAAATTAAAGTGTTAACACTGCTGATCTCTTCTCTACTACATTCATTTGGATTTAAAAAATAAAATTTTGGATCATAAAATTCTCTAAAAAAAAGTAAATAATCCTTAACCCCAACTGTAATTTATGCACATGTTTTATCACGATATTATGTAATTTCTCAAAAAAAAAATTGAGATTAATCATATTATAAATTGATTAATCAGAATTAGTCTACGAAGATGTAAATTTTGGTTGAAGCATAAAACTTGCTACAAGATAGGTGATCTTTTCCAATGAGTGTCAACTAGACAGCGCCCTCTAGTGGTAGATACTGTCCTCTGTTATTACGAAAGAGCATGAAGTTTGGTGCTTTTTAAATATTCTCATGAAAATAAAACTCTGACCAACCTGGGAACATTTCCAAATAAACTGTGGTATTTTACAAAGTGATTTGGTTAATAAACAAGTTTTGAAGTCGTACTACTCAGTCCTAATGTATTTCACAACATGGACATGATAAACATTGTCTATGTGGGTAGTTCAGTCATCCATATACAATATTTATGGAATACTTTGATAATTACCATATTAGTGGACAATTTGGTTAAAGTGCAACCACAATCAACAGACCAAGTAAAGTACTTAGTAGGTCCCATATGTTGTACATGAAAATCAAACATGCACTGTTTGGGGACTGTGGTGGCGCTCAACTCTTGGATGTTGTCTCAGTTACCTGGCCCAATCTTAGTGGAACCCCCAGCATCTTGTATATTATGCTTCCTGTTTAGAGAGGGGGGGGGCGCACCTATATTTCTAATTTCAGTAGTGAGATAAGTAAATGGGTGCACACAATGTTCTTTATATACTGTGGAACCAATTATTTTGACTGGCATTTAATAATAACTGTAAAATACTTAATTTTCACTTGGAATTTATTTTCACTGAAGGGATGATTCAGTGAAAATCAAATCCAGTGAATATACATTTTTTCCTATATTTCACATTCAACTTGTCAAAAATCAGTAAAAATATATTCCATACAAAATGCCCAAAATGTCTTTTCAGTGAATATTAATTCCAGCAAAAATAAAGTATTTCACAGTATTTTGAGCACATAAATAAATTAATGCATTTACAGTAGTAAATGTGTAGTTGTCATCCATTAGAATATACTGTAAACATATTAATTATTCCCTGGTTTTTAATTTCAATATTTTTGTTCGAAAGTAAGATGCACTAAATGAAATCCAAATGAACATGTAAAATAACAGATCTCATTGTTTCTCTGCCAAGTTTGTGAACTTAAATTAAAGCCCAATGAAATTCCTAAATTCATTAAAATAGCAAAATTGAATTTTAGTGAAAAAAAAAATAGTTTTACAGAACTGTATTTTGAGTTAAAGCGGGGGAGTCGTCACCTGCGCATACGTCAGATTGGCATAGCGTGTCAATGTTTACAAACAAATGTCTACCCATGAGCCTTTGCGTTTTAGCGCGTGTTGTTAATCGTCGCTTGGGACTCGATTCCCGTGCGTGCACAGGGGACGACCCCTCCAATTTAACAGACAACCACGAATCAAAACAATCACAGCCCTGCGAACAGCATTCCGCCTCGCTTTCCTTACACACATGAGACAGTTCATTGATAAAGGGCGCAATTTATATGGTCATACTCGGGTAGAACAATAATTCAAGATGAAAATCTAAGTACCGGTAGCTGTTCCTGTAGTTTTTAAATCTTGAGTTCATTGGAGCATGACAATTAGGACTGTTATTAGAATGTTTGTTGTGGTATACAAGCTGTAATTGTTTAGTGTTATTAGTAACTTGAAACTGGTTTTACGTTACGTTTTACGTTACGTTTTACGTTACGTTTTAACGTTCTGGGTGCTGGATAAACGTTGGTACACTTCATGTTGTGATACAAAGGATGGTGGTGGCCGAACAGCAATTTTACAAGCGTTGTACACCCTGCATTGAATCAATATCGAACACTGCGTCGTGACTGCGACCACCCACCCTTTAATACCAGTACATCGGGCAACTATTCTAGATTTTACCCATGAAGCGACGAGTTCTTCCTCGACATATGCAGACAAACACCATTGCAAAGAACAGAATGAACGTTAATGACATCATTGCAGTTCCGGTGTAGCCTTCTTTGACTGATGTCATAATTTTCTCAACTAAATATAAACAAATAATACAGTGTTAGTAAGTAAGGTACGGACGGACAACCACACAAAGCAACATAATGACAATTCAAGAAAACACGTACCGAGGTTATCGGACCAACACATGAAACTCGAGAAATACCCAAAAAAATATTTTTTTTTTTCCTGAGGATAATTAGTAATTTTAATTTGCTTCACAATTTAATTTATTTTATACAATTTCAATTTGTGATGTTCATAGAACTGTGTTCTGCATACAACTTGTGTCGGCATTTGCATGATTTTATGTCGATTGTGGCTGAAAAAATGTGGTATTCAATAAGTATGTTTGTTGGTGACATTCCTATAAATTGCAACCTCTAGTGATGGAACACTCCTGTGACATCAAAATAACATATATGGGTGAAGGCATGTCATTCAAATCAACACTGTGTGTTTGTGTTTTAACTATCTAGAATATACGAATATTTTCTCAAAAATAATTTGCATTGATGAATGACTACATAATGGTATCAATGGTTTGCGTGGCCTTTGCATCACCCATTTACATCATAGAAGCATCTCGTCTCTAGAGGGGCAGGTTATAGAATAGACGTATGTACACATTAGCATATTTTCTTGTTCATTTATTTGTGTGAAAACAAATAGGATTTGGCATTTTTAACATACTTGACAGAACCTATGTATGCAGTGGAAGAGAACAAATGGTCAGATGATTTCATATAACTAACAATGACATCACACAATTTATGATGGAAACTACAAACATTGAAAGTAATTTATGAAAACTACTTACTTGTAATTTTACCAGGTGGCGATGTTTTCGCTCCAATCCCGCTGATTCCACGAATCTGATGGTTGTACTGTATATGCGTAAAAAGTAAAAAGAATTGTCAATTTTCATAACCGCTCTAAATGGCATTGGAGTAGTGTGTGTACACCAAACAAGCAACCTGACGGTCGAAATAGCTCTGTTGTCTTCATTATCATGGAACAAGAATCAGTAAAGTGGCACTGTGGTTGACGGTTTTGGACTAGTTGTCGAAAATACATTTTTTTTTATCAAAAATGACAAAAATATTCATTAAAAATCCAAATTTGCATATTTTGACACAAATTTAACAAACCTGAAAGAAGACCACCCAAAGTACCATTGCTGCAAATATCAAAGCATTTGGACTTACTGTTTCTGACTAGTTGTCAAAAATAAAAAAAATTACCAAAAATGACAAAAATATTCACAAAAAATCCAAATTTCTATATTTTGACACGAATTTAACAAATCTGACAGAAGACCACCCCAAGTTCCGTTGGAAACAAATATGAATGTAATTGGTCAAGTAATTTTGAAGAAGAAGTCGTTTAAAGGAAAACTTCACACTGGACACAGGACGCGAGACGGACGACGCCAGAGAGAGAGAGACCCCCCATACCAACAGCAGAGCTAAAAAATTAAATTTATAAGGCATCCCATTGGTTTGATCTAGTTTTAAGACACACTGTGGGCACACAATTTTGTATATGTTTGTATGTGTGAAAGTGATATTAGTGCTAATTTTCTAATAGCAGATGTCAGGTACATGTATATACAAATATAGGTAAATGGTCCAAGTTTGACTCTGCATCCATTTGGCCCCAAGTTAAAAGAAGACCCTACTTCATATATGAATACTGGATGTTGGATAAGCACCACTTTAAATATTACACCAGGGTTGAAACGACTACACTGTACCTCGATTAGGCCATAATGTCCAAAACCAGGGCCGTAATGGCTTATATTAAATTGGATCAAAAAGAGCAGGGCTTTAACGTCTAGAAATTACAATCACTTTTGTGAATTAATCTCACCTGATCAGTTATGTAGATTATTTTTTCTTTTTCGTCAAATGTCAAACCTGTAGGATGGAAAAATTTTGCTTCTTCTCCAAGCCCATCAGATTTTCCTTCTCTGCCTCCAACAAAACTTCTGACTTCTCCTTTATGACAAAAAATAAATAACCAGCATTATAAAATAGCTTCCATCTAAAATGTCATTTCTGTATAAACGTTGGTGGTGTTCTAAAATGAAGGACAACCCATTTTTTTTGATTTTACATTTGTGAAAACCATTATCGCAGATATGCAGACTTAACCTTTTCGTCACCAGTTCCCTCTTTTCATTACAAATTTTGTCTGTTGGCACCAAAATTTGGGTGAGAAATTCTGGTCATGAAAAGGTTAAAAGCTGATGACTAAGCATCTTCATCAGACAAGGTTCATTTATCCAATCATAGCTTCATTACAGGTTTGCGAAATCTGTGGTTCAGGTGATGCTCACTAAGTCACTGTAATTGTCTAAATATGACTTAAAACTTAAATGAACGTTGACTCAAAGTGACAGAATAGAAATCTGATGCCACACACAACTAGATACATATAAAATTGAATATCCTTGTTAATTATTTCAGTCACCCCTACCAAAAAATCCAAACACTATTCGAAACATGACAATATTTATATATTTCTCATTTGACAGATGCAATTATTACATAGCACATTATTGAACATATTATCAATATTATTGTTATCATTATTACTATTGTAATCACTCAATATTACGATGACCAGTTGGCCTATAATGATTGTAAATAAAGAATTATTATACATCTGTCACCGTAATGTCATAAGTTATAGCGTGCCAAAATTTTGAGATATTTAACAGGGTATTTTCTTTCTACCATATTAGGAAATGCGAATTCCAAATAAGGAATGATTACACACGTAAGCATCCTCTAATAATACCGGACTTCACACAAAGAAGTTCGCTGATTCTGTTCTAAACGTTTTGGATTTTGACATTCCTATGGTATATCTTTGGAATGAAAAGATGTATAATGATGAGGTTATTACGAGGATACCGTAAAGTATGCACAAAGACAGTACAGCTGGAGTATCGCCCGACACACAGCTGTCATAGTATAATAAATATCTATCACTATCTATTATACCTACCTTCATCATCGACTATTCGTACGCAGTTATTATCCTGAAATATACAGAGATGAAGCATATAAATATAGAGCCACAATTGTTGAAAGCGTCACAAAACCCTCTCAAACAATGATAAAGATGCAATACATATACATATAATATTGTTGTTCGATACTCCATACTGTAGACCAAAAAAGAGTATGATATAATTTATCATAAACAGGACACACAGCAGTTTTCGTTCTATGAAAAATCGAAACCACAAATATCATATGCAGTGATTTGTTATTGTACGTACCAAAACAATCTGTGCACAAATACTCATTTTTATTTGAATACCAATGAGAAGTTGTTGGTTCTAAATTTGGATTAGAGTATGTTTTTTTTCTCCCATTTCTGATGAGGTCAGACTTTTATTATCCCCTGTTTCGCAAACCTGCCGAATGAACAGGAATCGAAAATGAAATAAAAATAAAATTTTATTTCAGCGTAATTTCTCGCGCCCGCCGATTTGTAAGCGCATAAAAATGCTAAAAAAATATTATTTGCATTTTCGTGGGAGTTTCATGATCAAAGTACCGAAGTCTCGCGCAGATGAGAAACAAGGTTATACATGGAATAATATTTTATTTCATTTCTTCTCTTCGATCAATGATCTCACTTACAATTCTTTGAGAATCGCACAAATCTAATGGGAAAAAAAGAATTAATTTAATTTTTTTTCCGCCCTCCTCAAAAAAATTGCTTTATAAAAACTCGAGAAACAAGGAATAAAAAAAAGTCTGGCCTAAGCAAGTCACTGTAAAAGCTACTGCCACACGCACCCACGAAATGACCACTTGTCGGCCATATTCAATCAATCAATTGCATTCATATCTTCAAATTATTAGTCAAAATGCACTATAGGAGAAAATTTATAATATGGTTGCAGGCAAGTTCAATAACAAGGTTTCAAAATGTTAAAAATGTATTAGAGAGATAATATTTACGTTTGAAAATACATACAAATTCAACAACATAAAGCACTTTGTTTTCAGTGTCATACGCCATGCCTTCTGGGTAATTGAACATAGCCTGATTACCCATCCCATTCACAAAACCAGGTTTGCCGCTACCCGCTAATGTTGTGACAATTTCTGGAGAATAAAAAAAATTTATTACAATAAAGTTTTAAGTCATGCGCAGTTTAAAGTTGGAGGGTTGTCACCTGCGCACACGTGGAAATTGAGTCCCAAGCGACGATAACACCACAATGCTAAAAACGCAAAGGCTCATGGGTAGATGCTTGTTTGTAAACAATGACACGCTATTGCCATCTGACGCATGCGCAGGTGACGACTCCCCCGCTTTAATTCAATCTTAGTACAGAATAGTAACTCAGTGGAAAATACACAGAGACAGAGCCGATATGTTAATTTGCCGTTCAGGTTTCTACGCTGTTTGGAGCACCAACAGGTATTCCAGAGTGTATAATGTATTGGCAAACAGTTGTAAACTTTGAAGGTTGCTGCATGATCAATTAACTGAGAGCTAAGGTAACATTTCTGTCACACAATTCAAAAACAAATAGACTACAGAAGAAAGACATTAAAAGTGAAATTACGGCAAAGTGGATACGATATTATAAATGCATGAACAAAAATGAAAATAAAAAACAATTTTGAACAAAAATAAATAGAAACTTCGTTAATAGTAATGAAAAGCAATAAAAACTGAAAATGACAGTTAAAATATAAATACAAAAAATCTTATGATTTTCAGATCTGGAAAAAAAAAATTATTCAACAGAGACTTGTTCATCAACCTGTCAAGTTTCATCGATATCTGCTGCAGAATTTCTGAGAAAATGTTGGAGATGTAATGGTAGGTGAACGGGTACTAAAAAGCAAAAAATATCATACTCACTAGACTCGACACCAATCATTCTAATAGCGTGGTTATACTGTAATAAACAGGTAAATAAACATATAAACAGCAGCAGCAATGACAACGAAAACTCAACAATAAAAATCAATGCCACGGCAGCAACCATCAAAACAAACCCCAGCATTACAATGGACATGTAAACATCTAAGGGGTGACCAATTGAAATTGGGGGGGGGGGCAGAAGATTTGTTGAAAAAATCTAATTTGCAAGCTAGACACCAAATGCATACAATTAGTGTTGAAAGGAAAACATATTGGCATATTAAGAAAAATAATAATTTTCAGACAACATATCGAAAAAAAACATGCTATTTTAAATATTTGACACCAGCATGTTGTACTCACATGATCAGCGATGAATAATATATTTCTGATTGGATCAATCGTTACTCCAGCCGGGTGATAGAATGTCGCCCCTGTGCCTTTACCATCTTTAAAACCCTTTTCGCCACCAGCTATTGTTGTCACTTCTCCATCAGGTAGACTCACTTCACGGATAGCATGGTTGTCCTGGCAACAGAAGTTGTAACCAAATAAGAACTCAATATGGGACATGGGACATTTACATACATACATAGAACAATGTGTATACTGTAAAATGATTAATTTTCACTGGGTTTAAATTTCACTGATTTACCATTTTAGGCATATTCAGTGGGTTTTAAATTCACGGTTTCGTCATTTAGATAATGTGTTCTATGCTAAATTTTACATATTCACTGGGTTTTAATTTAGCGCATTTTCCAGTCAGCGAAATAAGCTAAATTAAAACCCAGTGAATAATTACCCCCTTTACAGTAGTAGTACAGTGCATCACGAGAGAAACTAGGATCACTCTTGGAGTATTGACAGTATATCTCAGAAGTATTGGGGCAGCCAATTTGCAAACTCGCTAGCGAACAGCTGAGTTTTGACTAAATGGTTAGCTTTCGATTCTCGCTGGCGCCAACTTATGATCGCGCCCACTCCTGGTGAGTCTATATTGCGTTAGGGGACATTGAATGCTTTTACGCATCCTCAGGCTGGTACATGTCTGTATTTCCCTGAGTGATTTGAGCGTGAAAATGGCCACAGTCAGATGGTGTACAAGTGGTAATATGATAAATGCGATTAATCCACCGATATTTACTATATGGGCGTAGCCATCTTGAACACTGCTTGAAACTAAATAGACAAGTTGAGAAACAGTTTCCTACAAATCAGGGAGAAAATAACAATTTTTCACATCCAAACGATCCGTTGGGGTAACATTACCCAACCGCTAAAACAAAATCGACCGCATTCGTCGTTTTCACGTGGACACAAAGAACATAGAACACTTTCCTTGGTATATTTGAAAGCAAAATCGTCATCCAACTCCTAAAGTATGATAATCGTCCCCTACTGTTATATATAGATTAGCCTTAAGTCGGCATGACCACAAGACGGCACCCGCGAGATTAGAAAGCCAACCGTGTAGAAGTTAGCTAATTTTGAAGTTTGCTAGCGAGTTTGCTAGCGAGTTTGCAAATTGGCTGCCCCAATACTTGTGCACAAATCAATGTTATATATGGACCAAGAAGTAATATCAGAGGTTTGCAAAAAAGTGAGCATATCCTGCCATACCAGAGTCACTTGTTCTGTATCACTCTGAGTAGTCAATTAACAATGAAAAACAATGGTAAACAATCAGAGATCTTCTGCCTAGGTGATTTGTTGAATTTTAATGACATTCTCTTGACATAGCAGCTTGGATGACAGGAGATACAACAAAAATATAAACCCCAGAGTAATCCTTATTGGATTGTGTTGCAATAGACCATATTAATAAACGGCCACTGCATTTGTAAATCTCCATGACAACAAGAAATCCTTATGACTTATTTTTGCCACCCCCCCCCCCCACCCCCTCACTCTCAACTAGGTCGCAAAGGCCAGTTTGGAATATGGTCTAGTATCGGTATTTTGTATATAAACCTGTTATTTTAACCACAAAATATACACTTACCGTGTCGGCAACAAAAAATCTGTCTTTATACACGTGATCTACGGCGACAGCTTGCGGATTGAAGAAAGAAGCAATAGTCTTCAGTCCATCTTTGAGTTCCTCTTTACCACTCCCAGCAAACGTAGTGACCTCACCTGTCATACAATGAATACCAAACATGAAATGGTGACACTTGTCATGAAAGGAGTGTCAATGTGTCCCTGGTACTGCATGTCATGTCATTATTTATGTGTGTGTGTATTGTATGAATGTATTTTCCGTTTATCTGATAATTTCGTTTTACATTTTAAATTTGTTGCACTCATATAATACTATCGTACATGATTTCAAAACGACTTTCTATAAAACGCCACAGAGCCGGCACAATATGTAAACAATGTACCAGCATATTTCACACCACATTTCACAGAACCCAAAATGAACACAATGTGGCTTGACAAACAACATTGTGCAATTTAACTTTATGAAACTGCGTTCAGTAGCATATTGTAAGTTTCCTATTTTATGTTCAAATCAACCAATCACGTACAGCTTACTATAATCCAGATACTGAGACACATTGACAGTTGATTATTTAAATCCACAGATTTGATCTATATTAATAGTTGAGAAAAAATGTTTCTGGAACCATCAGAAAGACAGACACAAATATAATGATCCTTACCAGTGACGACATTGATGGCTCGTATTCTACTGTTCGCCTGGGTACAAAAAAGATAAAATTATTCAAAATTTAATTATCAGAGATATTTCCTCGTACCATGACCATCTTGAATTGCTGAATGTGCATTCTAAACTTATTGTGGTTATCAATAAATTAATCTACATCTATTAACAACAATTCGATTGACCTAAACCCCCTTAATTTGATATAGCTACGGTACAAATTAAACAAATCATGGTCACTTCATAGTTTAGGCGGCACGAAAGACTACATGCGCTACGAGTACCACCATCATGTAGATACATTCATACTTATACCAACAATTGTTCGTTTGTACAGCAGTGAACACAATAACATGTTTGTTGCATGTATGACCGCCCCGCGACATTTAATACTGTATCTTTGGAACTGATTTTCTAATTCCACATCGTTAAATAATTAACCAAACTTGATACGTGATGATGAGCGTTCAGTCTGCTAAAAACAGCTAAGCTGTTTTTTCCTCCGTTGTAAGACTGGCCAACTTTTAATATTTGAAATTGAAAAAAAAAATACTGATGACTGAATGTGTTTAGGATTTTTGATTGCAATAAATTGATTGAATTTATGAATGTTTTTTTCCCCAGATACTGTAAAAAAAATTATTTTTGCTGAAGGGATGATTCATATTACCTGGGTCAATAAATAAGTTAGACAATTGTTTTCAGCATATATTGGGCATTGCAACATTTGTAGGAATTGATACTTACACTGTCTGCAACAAAAAGAGTTCTTGTCTTTCTATGCATGGACATTCCTAGAATATAGAAAATACCAAACTTAATATAATGTGGGCAAAGAGCAAATAAGTCTTATTCTTGGAGTTCTATTTTTTATTTCTCATATTTAAAATACCTAAGAATATCATTCTTGAAAATATATAATATTTGTTATCAAATTGAATATGTATATATCATTTTTCAAGTTCAAATTATATATTAATGTTTGAGTTCAATGTTTACACAATAAATTATTATTTAAATTTTTCTTCTATCTTAGTGTGTTTAAGACTATATCTCTTTTGAAAATTATCATTATTTAGCAAGTTCAATGTTCAGACGATACATGTAATTACACTTTAAGGTAGAGATGCAGGTTTGTGGGCACTTGGGAATGAAATTTGGTAGAATTGTGAAAAGTGGAACATACTCTCAAAATGATTTTAAAATATAGATAACAGGTGCAAACATTCTCTCTTTTGAATGCTTAGCAAGATTTAGCAAGGCTGTACATAAATAATAAAAAAGAAACATGGTGAAAAAAAGAAATGACGGGATCTCCATATTATGCACTATATTTAACTTTTAACAAAACGACAATACATTTAAATTTGGAACAGCCATTTTAATTATGAGCATTAGCAAACTTCTTACTGAGTGAATTTTTATGCAAATTAGCAATTATCTCAGCTTCTTTTCAGTGCACATTCCAGAACTTTAAAAAAAAAATAGCTCCTAGACGCTTTGACTTTGACTTTTTGTTTTTAAATTTTCATGTATGTTTATCTTCAAAACGCTGTCGGAGCATTTGTTTTTGGTTGAACCATAGTCCTGTGGAGGGACTGTGGTTGAACAGTGTTACAACAATCGTACAGACAGCTAGCCTGGGTGTTAATTTATGCATAAACTTGAAGTAGTGAAATTTGAGCTGCTACCCTGCAAAATTGACAACTGGTAAACAGTTTTCAAGACGGCACTTTCTTCATAGTAAACAGATGTACCTATAAACCAATTTTGACAGGAAACAGAAGCATGGTTTAGAAGTTATTTTTTTTTTAAATCACTTTTGACCAAAAAAGCACATTTTTGTGCATATTTCAAACTACAGTGTCCATAAAAAAAATACTAACAAAATTTTAAAATTCATACAACAAGTCATTGAAAATGACACAGTCCCCGTTAAATTTTTAAAGGTCTCTTTGTACTCATCATATTAAAGCGAAGAAGTTGTCTCGAGCATGTCCTTGAAACTTGAGTTCCAAGTGGCGTATACAACAGATTGTTTATTTACATCAAAACACGTGTTCCTTGTAGTACCGCTAGTAATATGGCCAAAAATAAAAACAGCCGTTATTCGGCCATCTTTGATCTAATTATGAAACACACTGATATGTATGATGTATGTGCCAAATATGAATGAAAATGGTACATAAATTGTGGAAATATAGCAGTAAGGCCAACAAGTCAGATGGCTGTCAATCGGCCATCCTTGACCAGATTTTGAAACAAATTGTCATGGACATGCATCCTAACATGTATAAAGTACATGTATGTGCCAAATTTGAATGAAAACTGACAGAGCACGTCCAAAATACCGCATAAAAAAAATCAAAAAAACAAGATGGCTGCCAGTCGGCCATTTTGAATCAAATCACCTAAACCACTGCATGTGCATATGATCCACATAAGATACTAGGCACATGCAAAGAATGAACGGAATCGGTCCACAGGATTCTGAAATATGACTCTGGACAGAGTGACGCACGAACGGACGGACACACGGACAGACTCAGGAACTCACGGATGGTCGGGGACATGCATCCTAACATGTATGATCTATGTACCATGTTTGAATGAAAACTGACAAAGCATGTCTAAAATACAACATTTTCAAAAAACAAGATGGCTGCCAGTTGGCCATTTTGAATCGAATCGCTAAACCACTGCATGTGCATATGTCCCACATAAAGTACTAGGCACGTGCAAAGAATGAACGAAATCTGTCCAAGGGATTCTGAGATATGACTCCGAACAGGGACTAATAAGCTTTCCGAAAATATATAGTTTTGTGGACAAGGGAGGTCATCTTGGTTTCCTAATTAACTAATTAAAATACCTGTCAAGTAAACTGCATGTCTACCTTAAGTTATAAGTTCAAACTATATATTATAAAGTTCTCAAAAACATGAAGGTACTACTGTAAATGCATTAGTTATTCATTGGTTTTTAATTTTGTTATTTTCACAGATAAGTTAATCTGTTAAATTAAATTCATGTATACATGTGAACTAACAATAAAACTAACTGTTTCTCTGCAAAGTTTGTGAACTTAATCCAAGTGAAATTAATCAATCAAAACACGAAAATAGTGAAAATATTTACAAAACACTTTTATACAATTATTATGAATTTCAACTACTGTAGAATACTTTATTTTCGCTTGGAATTTATTTTTGGCTATTTTCGCTGAAGGGATGATTCCGTGAAAATAAAATCCAGCGAATATACCTTTTTTTTCCTATATTTCACATTAAACTCATCAAAAAACAGTGAAAATAAATTCCATACAAAACGCCCAAAAAGCCTTTTCAGTGAAAATTAATTCCAGCGAAAATAAAGTATTCCACAGTATTTCAGTATATTCTCACCTGCAGGATGGTGAAACATTGCTTTTTCTCCAACGCCATCTTGGTATCCCTGAAGTGATCCAGCCAGCGTCGTCACAATACCTACGGGGGATTAAATACATTAGTCACAATTGTACAAGTCCCATGTAGTTTGATTAAGAAGGAGATGTTGGCGTACTTACCTGTTTTCACATCAACTTTACGGATACGATCATCGGTTCTTTTTGTTCCCGGACAACCCTGTAATATGAAACACACAATAGATCTTATATATAAATGGATGTCAATTATTGTTAAGAGAGTGAGAAATATTTTTTCCGCGAAATACTGTTAAAAATACTTGCAGGTGCAATGACAGTACAGAACATTTTTTTAAGATGGGCGTTAACAATTCAGAACTCTCTATTTGTGATTTAAATGGGAACAGCTCAAACCCATGGATTGCACCATGTGCTCATGGGTAATTAACTCCGCCTCTGTCCACTAAGTAAATGAATGCTTATTATGCTCGCTTACTCAAACTGTGATTGACAGGCATTTTGCATACATTAGCCGCCATTTTAAACTCATGATTTTTACATGTCGCGGTACGTTTCAACCGAAAACTACAACATTTATACATCAAAAGCCCAACCAGATGAGTGTAATCACTAGCATACATATTCATGCCCCCGTGGAAATGTATTTGGAATCACAGCTTGATCTCAAAACATCGTAAATGGCACAGTTCCCGGAGCTCTCACCACGATATGAACGACTTGGTTCAGATTAGCATACATACTAATTGGCCATCTTGCCCCTATTTATAGTATCAGTTCCCCTTTAAGCTCTTAAGGGTTAGTCAATTTTAACTTTCGATATGAATATGATTCATTCAGCTGATGCAGTATAAAACATTTCAACTCAGAGTTCATGTCTGCAGAATATATAGTATATGAATAAATCAAAGATTATGAAACTTATTAAAAAAAACAAGCAGGCTGAGAGCTCCGCAAATCTGAGAGAGGTCTATCTGAGATTATACCTACATGTATAACATCAAGGCAATCAGACTTGCGGTCTTTACCAAGAATTCGAAAATATTACTTTTTACCAAAAATGACAAAAATATTCATCAAAATTAAAGAACATATCATTACGAAATGAACAAATCTTAGAGAAATCTACCTGTAATACCTATATGTATAATATCAAAGCAATCAGACTTGTGTTTTAACAAGAAGTCGAAAATATTACTTTTTATCAAAAATGACAAAAATATTCATTAGAAAACTAACGATATCATCATGAAATGAAAAATCTAAGTGAGGTCTACCCAAGGTACATATACACCAAGTATCAAAGCAATAAGAATTGTAGTTTTTAAGAAGAAGTTGAAAAAGTAAAAAGTTGACACGGACGACAGACAATATTAATATTACACATATGATAAACTGAATTTTAGTACTGTAAAATACTTTATTTTCGCTTGGAATTAATTTTTGCTATTTTTGCTGAAGGAATGATTCAATGAGAATAAAATCCAGCAAATATACCTTTTTTCCTATATTTTACATTCAACTCTTGAATGTAAAATACATCCAGTAAAAATAACTTCATTAAAAAAACACCCAATAAATTTTTTGGTAAAAATTATTCCAGCTAAAATAAAGTATTTTTCAGTAATCTAAATAAGAGGGATTTGAAATACTGGCATACTACAAAGGGATTCTTATCCAGAGTATATAATCTATGGCACTATTATTAAAGTCTAGTTAATAATATGCCACAGTCCCTCTATCCCCAGTCTGGAAATGGTCATTGTATTAGGTGTGAATTGCCTCCTTCCCTGGCAAAGGCACGTTGCTGGTAAAGGCAAAGCATTGTCATGTGATCAGTACACAGCCGGTCACTATTTTTGACATTGTCAGTGCTATGTTGTTTTTTTTAAACTTAGTTGTTTATTCCAGAATTCAGGCTTTTTCACATAATTTTTCAATCATGATATCTGTATAAGGTCATATTTTAGCCGGCGAGTAGTTTTTTAATTCATCTATTTTACCAGCAGCGACACATTTTTGCAACAAATTTTCATACTTTTACACCCAGAAATTGTTTGTGTATGATTTTGGGGTGAACTCTATTTTATTTACCCTACTTCTCAACGCAAAACCAATATTTGACTTCGATTTTGACATTTTATGGTCAAAACATATCATTAAAAATTGGTGGGCTGATTTGTTATGTGTCGCACCGCATTTTATTTATGTTAAATTGGTCGGTTTTTATGTATGCTTTTTTGATCGTAAAAGCGAATGGCGACGTTTGAAATGACAATGTTCGCTATTCAGTGCTAAAAACATCATTTATATACAAAAATTGAAGCATTGTTTTATATTTTGCATCGAATAAAGTCATTAGTTTTTGTATAGTTGACTTGAACTGTTATGAACCCCCGAGAATCAGAAATATCACAGGTTTTTAATCGACTACGTTAACATGAACGACGCCATTTTGACAAGATTTGTTTAGCGATGTCAGCATGTTGGTACGCGAAGTTTTTTCCCAATTAAAACTAGATATTAATCTTCACATGGCAGGATCTGGATGTTTATGGGTTGGTAGGCTGGTTTTGATACGTATCAGGGTTCAAAAACCCCAAATTTCATAGTGCTAATTTTGTTTACATGCTTTGTTTACGTTGTAGTTGCCCAAATTTGAAGTCAAAGTGAAGTCATACAATGAGGTATCGCTTTGCATGACGGTAAATTTGCCGAATTTAATGAATATTCTGACGGTATTGTAATCTGTTTGACTTCCTGGGTCCCTCGGACCAGGTGTGAACGGTTTGTTTACATGCAACACGGTTCGAGACAAAAGAACGCTAGTCGTTTCCAGACCGGGATAGAGGGACTGTGAATATGCTAACAATAATAATGTAAACAGTGTATTTTTTCTGGGT